AACTGGCCAGCCTGTCGCGCATGCGCACACGAGTCGAACCTCAATACAAGGTTCGTTGAACTCTCTACTACAAGTTCGAAAAAATCGAACCTGGTCAAACTCGAACCTCGGCCGGTTCGCGACACCCCTAGTGAGCTTGCAGTCATTTCGGCACGCATCTTAGTCAAAAATTTGAATCTATACATCAAAGTAGAGCTGGATATCCCTGTCTTGTCCGCACGACAGGGGAACATTTATTTTTCATTATTTTATTTACCTTGAAAATTTTCACGCTAATTTTAGCGGAAAAATTTCCTACCAAATTTGGAGAGAAAATTTTACCCTCTAACCCGGAAACGGGTGCCCTGTGCTCTAAATCATGGCGCCACGGCGAGGAGGATTGCCGTCGATGGAAAGGAGAAAAATGCCGGGAGAGGGACTCCCTCCCACATTGCTCCGGGCCAAAGTCTGAACCCTGTACCCCTGTGGGTCCAGTGCGGGGGTAGAGGCCCGTTCACGCGCTTGCGATCGAGTATGACCGGATATGCTGCTGCGGGGCTGGTTGTCAGCCGTCTGAAGAGGCTTAAAAACTGATCTTGTCGCTTTTTAAGCATCTTACGACTGGATGCGCTGCTGCGGGGCTGGTTGTAAGCCGTCTCAAGAGGCTTAAAAACTGATCTTGTCGCCGTCGGTTGTATTCAAACGCAAATGTGTGAACGGGCCTTAAAAGGGCGGTGCAAGGATTTTCGGACTTTGGCCAATTAACTGCGGAAATCAATCTGTGTCACCTATAAAACGAAGAACAGCAAAGCATAATTTCTTGAGAGCACTAGTTTTTATTTTAAAAAAAATGAAACAAACCAAAGGTCAAAGTGCCTCTCAACCAGGGTGTAAGATAGACAGGTGGGGAAACGAGAGCCAAATGAGCGACCGGATTGTGTCCCCCTCGGTTTTCTCTCTTTCTGTGGCGCCACCTATGTGGAGCACCGCGAACTCTCACTCCGGGTGGGCGACCGGTGGCGACCGGCTAAACTGACGGAGATGATTTCTCGCGGATTTTCAATGGAGGACTGTCGTGCTCTCGGTTTATTTTGCGTACTCACCCATAGAGTTCCGTGCAAATTCGATTCAGATTTTTTTCCTCTCGCCGCAGCGCCATCTGTCGCAAATCGGCGGTACCCGCAAGCAGACAAGTAGACAATCGGGTCACGGCGCTGCGGTAGGCTTCTATGGGCCATTTCCCCACCTGTCTATCTTACACCCTGCTCTCAACTCTCCACGTCGCCTTTCGAGCGACCATGTTTGGGGGAACCACCTGGTTTCCCATTGGGCTCTCTCTTCAGATACCCCAGCCTCTTCCTCCGCGATTGTCGACTTTTAAAGGATTAGCAACGTCAAAGGTCACGGCGAGCGATTGACACAAAGGACGGTTCGCCACGTGGCCGACGGCGAATGCAGCAGCGGAGGGGGACAGGTTTTTGTTGACTTTTGCATATCCCCCAGTAGCGCTGTCACCGTAGTTCCCGCAGCAGCCACACGCGGCTTCAGATCAGCAAATAGTTTTTTTTCTTTGCAACTACGCAGCGGAATAGCAGTTTATTGAAGCAAGGTGACACGTTTTTGGTCACTTGTGCTTGGATAACCAATATCAAAAATACAAACTGCCAACTCTTTGAACATTAATATCATTGCACTACCCATCTAACGGTGAAAATGTTTGACCAGAGGGAAATTGGCGACTCCCTCATGGAAAAGGGGGGGTGGGGGGAGAGAGGCAGGGGAGTGATGTTTTTTCATTTTTTATGCCCGATCCCCCAAAAGTAATCCTGGTGATAGTTAGGGGGAGAAAATTGGCTTAGAAGGGAGGGAGGAATCATGTTTGTCTTTTTAGACTTATAGCCTCGTCCCCCTAGAGCGACAAACACAGATTTTTGCCTGGAAACACCACAAAAGTTACATGTCGCGGATGGTGTCCCACTGTAACAGCCAACACTTGCGACAAACAATCGACAACAGGTTCCTGCTTGTCTTTGAACTTGAAGCACCGCAAGCAGTACCACCGAGGAACATCTCTCAAAGACAAACTTATTCTCTTCACCCACTTGTAACCTCGGCTGCCTCTCTTCCTTCCCTTTTACCCTTCCTCCCGTCGCTCGCCTCACCGTTAGACCTTCAGAGAAAGCCTTGGTGGCCACTGATCATTCCCGCAGTTCCAGTTCCTCGATTGCTCGTGGGGGTCGTGGCTTGCTCGCTGGCGGCTTTGTTGCGAAAGAGAATTTGCTGCGACTGGTTTTGCTCACGAGATGGTGCTTCAAAACAGTGTTGCGAATGGGCACCCGAATTCCATTCCAATTCCATTTTGGCGAATTAAGAGTTTTCGGTTATTCAATTCCTTTCAACTCCTAGGAATGGGGACACTGAGCCCATTCCCACTCCTGGAATGGCTGAATCGTTCCATTCCATTCCTCTAATTCCTAAACGTAAAAATTGACACTTGACAGCTGCATTACACTGCAGGGTTGGGCAGAAATAGTAAAAAAATGTATTTGAAAATAGAAATACTGGGATAGAGGAAAATAGTAGCTAAAATACTGATACTCAAATATATCTGTAAGAATGTATCGCGATACGTATCGGAAATACATTTTAAGAAGAGTCAAAAAGTCTTTGGAAAATCAAATACAGGAATACATTTTATAAGGGCAGAAATATAAATACTGATAATGCAATACATTTTTCAAATTTCTTTGAGACGCCAAAGTGGAAGTTTTTTTTGTTTGTTTTTTTATCCCGAAATTACTTTCCCGCAGGCTTGGCGCTTCGCCTTGAAAGTAGTGGTTCCGGACGAAGAGGAGTCTTCAATGGGTTCAAAAAACTTTCCATCAAGGATTGACCGCGGCCCCTTCCCTAGCATCCTGTCTGTCTGACCAGTGATGCGAAAAGACTTCGACCTCTAAATAAATTCCATCAAAACATCATCACTTCCCTGTCCAATAAGGGCACCCCTGTCAACACTGATCAGAAGACGTCACGGCGGAGTGAACTAGTATTCTTGTATCTGTAAGTGTTGCCTTGAACATGAAACTTGACCCACGCTGCTGTATGAAAGGACGATGCATACTTTCGTTGTAGGTGACCTCGTTGAAGACTATGCAGGCAGTTGCATTTGGAATTTTCGAGAATAGGGTGGACCACCTGAAGCATCCTGTAGCACATGTCTTATCTTCTGTTACGGTTGATAAAACGATACGGTGGCATCCCTGTTGTGAAGGTCCTACCTGCCGACCTTCTGCCTCCAACGCATGAATGGCAGTCCTCAAGTTTCGGTTAGCATCATCCAAACAGAGACCTGTGAATTGCGACCCGAGATGGCCGGCACAGGTGCGAGCTCTCCGAGAAACAGCGCGCTCGAGACGAGTCGCAGGAGTACGAAGTCTGGGTCGGCACAGCGAGACCACGTCTGGCCTCATTCCTGGATATCGTATCACCAGAGCAGCGGGTCAAGTTCACCTCGACTGATGACGTACCCTTGAGCCGTGCAACAGGCGCAGACGCATTCAGGTTTGTGTTGAACTTCACTGGTGAAAGGCGCCACCGCCGCCCCCTTCCCTCCCCCCTTTGTTCTTTGCTTTGACCCTTGTTCTTTTGTATTGCACCTTTTTTTTGCGTATAAGTAGGCTAGGGCTCCACTCGGGTTTGCAGCTTCCCACTCATTTTATTTCTGAACGACTGACTCGCTGACTAACTGAGTATAGCTAAACGTAAAAAAAAAGAATAAAAAATATAAAGAACCGGGCCCATTCCATTCCGGGCAAAAGGCATCTAATTCCATTCCCATTCCATTCCCTCAACGTTACTGCCATTTCATTCTCATTCCACTCCGGGGTCGCGAAAATGTGGAATGATTCCGGAATCATTCCAACTCCGCAGTGGCAACTTCGCAACACTGCTTCAAAACACCGAGGGCTATACGCCACTGGATCAGGAGGATACACCGAGGTTCGAGGACTGACCAATGTAAGACCGCTTGCCACGAAGTAGGACATGACGTTTCGGCAAACCGTTCCGGCAGACGGGAAACTGTCATCACAGTTTGTGATAATCGGGATGCCGTACTGTTCCCCAAAAGACGCTTAAGATACGAAGTTATAGACATGCTCAAAATCGGCATTAAATTTCGTGGTGCTCACCTAGAATTCCTTGAACGACCCCAAAAAAAGGAACGATTTGGGAATTCTAAGTTCGGAAAATGTTTAATGTCGATTGCCACGACTGTTTGCGGAAAGTTGCCAATGGCAAATGCAGACTAGATGAAGATTTAATCAAGAAATAAAGCAATCATCTCCACTTTCACCGTGTTTCTCTGCACGTTTTACGCCCAAAGAGCAAAGCACGAAAACCGCGTCGCCAGACTCTGTCTGTGCATTTTGAAGTGTTTTGTTGACAACTCCAGTGCCACTAGGAAACAAGTTTCCTTGTCCCAGTGTTCTGCGTTGTGTCCGCCAGGTGGGACGGCGGACTCTGACAAACAGGCTGTCTCTCGTTGTCGTGTGTCGCTATAGTTTGTTGCTGTTTGTCGCTCTAGTGGGACGTGGCTATTAGGCTAGGTGGCGCAAGCTACCACCCGTTACAAAGGATACAGCCATTTATAATCCATCCAGGGGGTTCCCGCTACCTGCCTCGCTTTCATTGCCTTCGTAGACAATGAAAGCGAGGCCCATAGCTTTCAGTTACAATTAATAGTACAAACCCAACTCCAAGTACAAATAATACGGTCCAGACTAGAAACCTGAAAAGTGGTTTTTAACCCGACTTGGAAGTACAATGACTTGTCCTGAATGAATGCTGATGAGTTAAACGATAAGACATCGATGGTGAATGACCTGAGATTTGAAGGGAAACTGGGATGGCAGTTTCTTAGGACTATTGACCTTCAACACTTACCATATTTTTTGCATTGGGAGATTGAAATATAGAGTTTAGCGAATAAATCCAAATAGACAAAAAGTTTACTGGTGGGTGTTTTTCTGGGTTTATTTGAAAACACAGAATCCTAGTATACTTAGGCACTCAGTTCATTGCTATTAGACATCAAACTTCCTGATCATTATCCAATTCAACCAAGAGCAAAAAAAAAAAAAACAAAAAAAAAAAGACAGTCATTTGCAAGTTACTCGAAACCCTTAAAGGGTGAGCACTAAGCCGCTTGCAATGATTTCATATTACGAATAACTTAAATATTGTCAAGATTTTGCATCATGACCCTTTAACTAAAGCAGAAACGTGCCGAGTGTTCTTCAGATACACTAGAAAAAAAACCCAAAAACTACGCAAACATATCTCATCTGGTCGAATTGCTCAATCACAATGCTTGCACGCAACCTACTGTCTCATGGAAGCAGTTCACCAAATGACGAGGCCTAAAACCCCTCCCATTCTTGATACTGTGACCTCCGCTCGAAATCGGGATGCCGATTCAAACACCTTTGCCCTAATCTCTAAAATGACAAACAACTTTATTGAAAATAAAAACAAACAAACAAACATTAAAAGTGATATGCTGAAATACATGAGAAAAAAAAAAGGAAAAAGTGCCCGAACTTTAGGTGCAATACGAGAACAGACAAATACGACACCAATCCGCAGAAAACTTTATGTGGAGCGGGTTGCACGCTTCCGTACGCGTGTCCGTTAATGTTGCAAATGCAACTTTGTCATTGAAAAACAAAAAGCACGAGTTCACAGTTAAAACACTAAAATGGTGCAAGGAAGAGTGAGAATGTTGACGAGTGAACGACTTTGTCCACACACAACCGCGGACGCAAGAAACCGGAACGCGATCGAACCTGCGAGGTGGCGCTTTCCTGCCTCTTGGGCCCTCGACCGCACATTCGTCCCCGAGCCGACAGTGTGGCGACAAACTTCCACTGCATTGTCAGCTTGGGGGCGAACGGAGTGTTGGAAATGCAACGATGAGAAGAAAACTATTTACAATGTCGGCAAAACGAAGCTATGTACAGAGCACTGTCGGCGTCTGGAGGAAGCGGGCGGCTTCAGAAGGCCGTGGCGATGCTGGCGCCCAAGGCCTTGAGGAGGTTCTGGAGGAAAATCATGTCTGGCCTCATCAAGGTCTTTCTCTTGGCGTGGAGGGAGCACAGGTAACTCGCCGACAGGAAGTTAGTCACGAAGTCCTCCGACGCGTCCTGGAAAAGAGGTGACGCCCGTCAAACGCCAACGAATCGAGGCGACACGTTAGAACTGAGACAGTGCCAGAAGTTTAAAGTCGAAAAATTTCTGGCTCGCATTTTTTATATCGTTTGTATTCGCATTAGAGGAGAAAATGTGCCACCTTCATTCAAAATGCTGCAAATTTGCTGCATACGGTAGAATCTCGATGATACGACGACGATTCGTCCGAATTTCGGTACGAAACGAATTTTTCGAAATTTCCGGCCGAAGTTCGTTAAGACTAATATATTACGTTTCGGGATAGTCCGAATGCTTTCTCGGCCGCGGTGAATCATGTGAACGATCATCAACAACCTTTACACATCCTGTGGGACGGCATCACTTGACTCCTACGACTGTAGCAGGCCTTTTGAGTCATTTCTCTCGCCGTACTTTCTATGTACGCACCATGCAATCCCGATAACCGTAGGTGCATTACAAAATTCGAAAACACACCAACGTCTAGCGCTGCTCTATGTTGTCGCGTGATGAGAATTTGGCTCGCCGGAGTAACTCGGATTTGCTTACTCCAGGGTTGCTGCTTTATATTTATTGTCAGGCGATAAATGGGTTTCAGCAACTCTGGACTGACTCGAGTGAACGTGAGAAATGATGTTCGGAATTGACGTTGATCGTGGAATCAACGCTCATCTAACGGCTTTCGGAAGTGTGAATTCACAAATCCTACAGTGGCTGCTCCTCCGGAACCAGAGGAAAACTTGAGAATTGAGGACTGAGACCTGCTTTGTGCCAAGAAATCGGCCTTTGATTTCATTACCGCAGATGACAGCCTCGCTACTTGCGGATTAAGGACTGCCGAGGCAATCGTTGACAAAGTGACGGCACCGCAAGGACGGTCAAGTAGTGGAGATAATGACGGCGACGTAACTAATGACAAGCAGCCACCGACGACTGCTGAAACACTGCATGCCCCCGATGAGCTGCGCCGCATAGTGAGCCCGAGATCAAGGTCAGCGACAACAGGTATACGCTCGTTCTTCCATGTTCCAAAAGTGCCGTTTGGGTGACATAAAAAAAAAAAAAGACTCGGAAGAACATTACCGATTTCTTTAGATTGGGGTGTGACCAATGAATTGCACGTACAGCCGCCCCTTTGCTTTTACGTAGTTAGGCAACTTGTTTTTTGTTAGTATGAATTTTGGATGATACAAAAATTTCCTGCGATCCCTCGAGATTCATATCATCGATATTCTACTGCAATTGCAAAAAAACAACACCATATTTTTTTTTAATTTGCAGTCTTGTGTGGTTGTCATCGGAACTATGGTGTGACCTTTTTCGCGGCGCCATCTATCCATCTATCGGAAATAAAGGAAACCGTTTCCTCTCCTTCGCTACCGTCAACGTCTTTCCCTGCGGCAAGCTGCCGTCCCACCTCGATCCCTCGACGATGGCAAGCGTGACCTTGAAAAGTTGACCAACGTGCAGGGAAGGCTGCTGGTCCCAAAGGCGACACCGAACCTCACTCGAAACGCTTCTACTTGTTCAATCTCTTTATAGATTAAAAACTAGTGCACCCAAGAAAGAGAGGGTTCCCACTCCTCGTATTATGGGTGGCCTTGACTAATTCCCACAATTACTTGGCCAAAGTTAGAAAATCGTTGCACCGCCTTTTTAAAGAGGAGACACTGCTTTTTCATGTAATAGAGGACAGGCGGTTGGGTCTGTTAGTGCACTGCGGCTCGGAGAGCGTAGAGCGCAAGCTCGCACAGCAAGACCCAAGGTTCCTGGTTCTTGTGATCCTCCCCACTCCTGCCCGTTTCGATCTGGACGAGCATCCTACCGGCGTGCGGTCGTGTTTCGCCAAGCGGTGTATGCCGGAGACCCAAGGCTAGCAGTGGTACCGACTATATAGGCCACGTAGCTCGATTCAGTCACAGGCCTACCTGACCTACGACTGAATAGGTATTTACATATTGACGAAAAAAAGGACTACCGTAAAATCCGGAGAGATACTCCACCCGAGAAAGGTAACCCACTCCCATTTCTGGCTCGAGGTGCTACAGTGTAGACCGCATATAACGTATGTCGCGGGAGTCGCGAAAATCCGCACTATAAGCGGTACCGCACTATAACCAAAACATCAATTTTTCAGGCCAAAATACATGCCCTGAGACAACTTACCTTTGTAAAAGAATTTATTTTATGTTAGATGAAAAATAAAGCTTAGATTGAGGAAAGTCTTTATTTCACCGGACTAGTACAGTTCTGTCTCAAGTGTGTCACACATTTTGAAAGAAATGAGCGGCTTTTGCCTGGCGCAGCTTTTTAACGGCGTCGCGGGTTGCGGACGGACGTTGCGAGCGTTCAGGATTGCTAACCCTAATCACTTTTCTCCGGAGATGAAAACGCGTATAATTCGCATCCTTCATACGGTACGCGCCAGTAATACCCTGAACTTGAGCACACGCATGAAATGCGCCAAATAAGAAATCCGGGCGATGTTCGAGGACCCAAATGCTTAGAAATCACCACTGTAGTCAAAGTAAACAAACACCACGACACGGGCGTTTCTGCCGTCTTGAGAGCGCCGCCACGACATCGCCGCACGAGCAGGTGGATCTTCCCTTCTAGTACGTGCTGGGTTATCATAGTGACACACAACGAAAATTCGCAGTCAAGGATAGCGCTTTTACGCGGAACGATGAGATGAACGTCGTCTACGACGACGATCACAACCGACGCCATGTGAAGCAGCCTTCTTCTTCTAAGCGTTGTGAAAGATGGTGGGGGGGGGGGGGGGGGGAGGAGAGGGCCAATAGTGTGTGAAGCAGCCGGCGCAACGCGCGCGAACACTTCTCCTCGACCTGCGATTGGTCTGTCGTTGCGGTTGTTTGTTCCCAACGCAGCGGAGGGACACACGCACGTGAACAACAAGTGCGTGCGTCCCTTCGTCGCTATGGCAACTGAAGCCTCTCTCTTCGCTTCTCCCCGCTAGTTCAAGCAACCTCCTTGCCCCGCGAGTGCCGCTTGCTTGAGGGTAGGGAGGCTCGCGGCTCGCGCCGTCAGCGCCGTTATCTAGTGTCGCACAGGGAAGCGTGCTCGCTGCTCCGGTCGTCGGCGCGGTCGGCGGCTGTGCCAGAAACCGCACTATAACCGGTATTTCCCTTCGCGCGCCTGCATTTTAAGCGGTATGTAATTACATGGAGTTCTATGGGAGGCGAACCGGTGGTTTAAAAAAGCCGCGTTATACCCGGTCCTGCACTATAAGCGGTTACGTTGTAAGTGGTCTATACTGTATTCCATTTGAAACACCGAAAGATAGCCCACTTTTAGTAATCATAGTTTCGGATCAATGATGACCGTGGCGTAAATGCGTCTAGTTAGCTATGGCGAGATATAAGCGAACACTGCTGATTGGAAAGTACAGTCATCTTTGCTTCATTGCCCCTTGCTGCGATAACAACTTCGACAGGGACACACAATCAAAAAATAGCATTTTTTCAACTTGCCTCGACTGCACACCGAAAGTTAGCCCACCCCTCAATTTCACCCAATTTTCCAACTATTTTAGGTGAGCTATCTCTCAGGACTTTACGGTATGTGGGCAAACTTCGACAGACAGACGATGCGGGTCGTTGCCGACGGCGACCGGTATGTGCGCCACGACGACGATCGAAAGACGAGGCAGGCCCACCTGTAGCGCCTGCAAGGCGAGCCCCTGCATGTAGTAGTGGTCGGAGCGACTGGGGGCCAAACCCTGCAGTATCTCCCTCACCAGCCGCGCAAACGACAGCCGCGGAATGAGGAGCTGCGTAGTCCTCTGGAGGCGACGGATGTTCTTGAGCCAGGGTGGGGTGTGATGCTTCGACCTCCGATTGCTCTGGGCAGAAGAGGAGTGGCAACCTTGCTGATTAGCTCCTGCCGATTGGCCTCCACCGGGCTAAAGTGTCAACCGCCATTTTTAAAAAGAAAGCTGATGGCGACTTTTTTTTCTTCTAAAGTCTTACGCTGCATGAAATGCGGTATTTCAGGAGCGGTCGTCTAAATTTGCTTAGAAGACACTTAACAGTCGCCTCGGAAAGAAGCTATACATTTATTAATTTTACCGCTAAACCTGGCGGGAAATGCACCGACGGGCAGACGGATGGGCGAAATCTTGCGATTGGTGGAGCTCCGTTGAAAAGCATTTTGCACCTTCAAAAAAAGAACTCTAGCAATTTCTGCAGTTAGGCAAATCAATACCAAATAAACATAAAAAAAAAAGCTCTTCTTGCATTGTTGTGCCATAGGTAGACTTAACAGAGAATGCACTGCATACTGCTTCGCACTGAAACTGCTGGGAGGAACTCTGCACGTCTTGCGCCTCGATGGCACGAATGTTGTCGTGCGCCACGTCTCTGCAAGAGAGCCCCGCCAAAAGCGGAGTAAGCTCTGCCTGCGCACTGAAAGTGGTCTTGAAGTGGCAATGAACACACAGCCGCTGGGACACCGCCCTTCTGCGATGCCATCGGGAGGAAATCGAGGGACCATTTTTCTTGTGACGCGGTAAATGCGCCGATCGGGGAACTGTTTTGGACGCCCTGGTAGGAGTAAAATGTGAAGTTTGTGCACGCAATCGACAACTACAAGTTACCCGTCTGCTACAATCTCTTAAAATTATGCGATTTCTCGTTTGTTTGAGCAGTATTTATGGTCCGTGGCGGGCCGTAGCTGAAAACAGTTCCGAGATAATAAAATTAACTTGTTTGGGGAGAGGGGATTCTTAAAAACCCTTACATTTAATGCTTTTTAGAGAACGTCGAGACAATGTCTACAGGGTGTCCCAGATTACTTGCATCAAACTTTTAAAAAAGCAAACGGAGTCCTCCAGGGAAGTAAAACAAATTGTACGTCGTTAGCAAGCGTCTTAACATAGTTGCCACATTTTTCTCAATCTGCCCAATTATTCGGTCGATTAAGACCAATTAGCAAACTTCAGTTATTCCTTTAAGGGCCGAGTTGTGAATTGGAAATTCTTTTACGATTTGGTGCAAGTCATCCCAGACGCCTGAAATATACATCTTTTAAGCTGTTTACAATCCACGCACTAAATACTTCCAAATGGCATTCACTTACACCTACGCAACGACGCGTTTGATTGCACGGTGCCCCACACACCATACAAAAATCACAGGAAGTTGCATCTCTCCATTGTAACTATTGCACCCGCTGTTGCCGGGTGCCATTAATAATGCCCGCGAGACGGCCAGGGAAACGTCGCTACTCGTGAGCGACGCTCCTTCGGCGGCTTCGCCGCTCGCGCCTGACGGTTTCAAGATGGCGGCACCCGTGCAACCGGGTGGGTAAAGACGGGAGCAGAGCACGAAAAATCGTGAGCGCCGACTTTGCCGGTCCCGAGAAAAGGGACGATAAAGACGGCGGCAGAAAAGAGGGGAGAGAAAGCAGACGGAGGGTTAGCCGTGCGCTTTTCTCTGCAGCGACTGGAGGTCGTTGGAGCTCTGGTCGACTTTGTTTTCGTGGCATAAACAACGCCGACTTTTTTTTTTTTGCATGGCAGGTTTGAAAAGAAGGCAGCTCCGACCTCACGGGCGACGTTCTGCCGCTTCTCCGCGTACAGTAAGGAGCTGCCGGCTACACAGGCTTGTCGGCACCTTACTCCGGTACGTCCGCGTCTGCACCGCCCCGTCGTACCGAAGCGGCCGGGATGCGTGGGACCTTTTCCTCCTACTTTTGGCACATCTAGTTGAGCGGCTTTAGTGGCCGTATTTTTTAAGATGGCGGCACCCACGCGAAGGCTGCGAGGAAAGGGCCACTTACCCTCCTGGGAGAGGTAGACTTTCGCCTCCTGCCGGGTCCCTTTGGTGCCGAAGGCTCCGGTGCCGGTGGCTCTGGAGCTCGGCGTGCCGCCGCCGATGGCTGTGCGGGAGCTTGGCGCGCCGGGGTCGGTGGACGTCTTTCTGGCGTGGGTTTGGCCCCTGAAGAGAGGTTAAGGTAAGTAAGAAAAACCCAAAAAACCTAAAGAAAAAACCTAAAAAAAAAAAAAAATATAGTTTTTTTTTTAGTGTTTTGTTTGAGGTAAGGCAGTCCCGCAAATCCACGTTTGGGAACTGTTTCGACATGAATTGACAAACGACATAAGCTAAGGCCCCGGCGAGCCAACTGGGGCCTTAACCTGGACACTTGGAGAAAGAGTCGGCGAGAAATCCTGCGGCCGTTATTGGTCATTGTCGCACTTGACCTTGGTACCGTCCAATCACAGTCGCCAGATTTCTTGCCGACTTTTTTGCCGAGTGTCCAGATCAGGGCCCCTGGAATGTCTGACCGAGGCACGTGACAACGCACTGTCGATGCACACTCGCTCCGACCTCGCCCGTGGCTCGGTGGCTGCGGAGAGTCAGATGCAGTTGCCGAAGGCTACGAAGAAATCCTTCCTGGCCGGTACATATTTACATCTTTAACCCTATAAAAAAGAAAAAGAAGCAAAAAACCTCAATATAATTTGATCTCACAGGGTAGATTTGGCTTACGCAGAATTTAGTTGACGGCACGCGTGTGACAGCTGCTTCGTTCGATCTACCCGCACCTCCTTCACTGGTGCAGAAACGTGAGGGAGCGCACTTCCGGTCGTATCTTGACACACATGCCGGAAGTACACCGCCCTGCACTTTTTTGCACCGGTGCGGAAAAATCGAACGAAGCTACTGCGACTTCACGCGGCACCGTGACGACGCATTTGGAATGCGTACCGCGCCGGTGTGTTTGGCGTCCCGTCCCGCCCATGCGCCGAAAGCAGTCTCCAAGTGGCGACGAATGACAACAGAAAAGCTCCGCACGTCGTTAGGGTTTACTAGAACCGGGAGGTGTGCCGACTGCGTCGGCCTCTCCGTAGGAGTTGGGCATCGTGCGACTCAATTCGGCCGCAATGCCTGGTCACGTTTTCAATGAAAAAAAAAAAGGCCACAGCGGGGCTGTACTTTTGTATTTCGAGACAAACCTTAGTGCCCCCCTTTCGGGCTGCAAGCCGACCCGTCGTAACCCGCGACCACCAACCTGCGGAACGGCGCTGGACTCTGGAAGCAGACACTGGGGGCCCTTCGTCGTCCACGGAAGACTCCGGAGATGGTTCTTGTTCCGCCTGCTGGGGTCGTTTCTCCGGCGACCTCGCGCTGAAACTCCTCGAGGTCGCGGGATGGCGCCCGGCGCCCGAAGCCGACGCCTCGGGAACTGTGGAATGGAATGGGAACAATGAAAAGGGAATAACTCTGGCAATCGCTCGCGATGCACCGAATCCCTGCCAAACTAATAAGCGAAAAAGATTTCCCGCTAAATTAAGCGAGCCATACGTGCGGGGAACACACGTGGGGTCCACCACGAAACTTTGCGAACGGTAGCCGTCGCTGTAAAAATGGTCCTAAGACTCTGCAACAATCTGAACGAACTAAAGCCTGGTTCACGCGCTTGCATTTGCTTATGAAGAGTACTTGTGATAACTTACGACTAATAGATACCTTGGCGACATCTACGAGGTGGCCCTGGAACTTTCTTTCACCAGAGCAAAGGTTTTGCAGGGATTGCGAGATCAGCAAAAAGGGATTGTTGACTGTTAGGTGGCCTAGCCTTCCTCATAAAAATAATGCTACGTACCGACTTCTGCCAGGTATCCTTTTCTGATATGGTCACTCTTGAGGGACAGTTGACTTTGAGTGACTTTTGCGCTAAAAAAATATTTTGCGACATCAAATGTACATATTATCTTCAGTGTTGGGGAGCACCTTGACTACATTGTACTGAAAGCACTAGCACTTCATGTAGGTTCGGAAAAACTTGTACTTGAAGTACATTCTTCGTGTATGTACTTGTACTTAACTTGGAGTATTTGTTTTTTCATGGTACTTTCTGAGGAAAGCACAAGTCTCTACATCAAAATACAATGCCCAAATTTTGAAAAAAAAAAAAAAAAAAAAAGAGAAAAGGCGCTTTATTGTGTGAAAGCCCGTTATCGTCTTTTGTGACATCATTTGGTCATTTCTCTAAGTAAAGTGATGGCAGGTTGAAGACAGATACAAGTGTAAGTGCCTTACAAGTTGATTCTGTTAAATAGTTTGTCAGCGAGAGTAAATTAACTACTCTGTGGCTACCTGACTTCATCCAATGTTCACCACCACCGCTGAAAATAACTGATGCACCTCTGATTACCCCTGGGGCAATGCATACCAGTTCAAAAATAAGGGAACATAAAGGCACCGTGAAAGGTTAAAGGGATTGTCCGGTCAAATTTTGTATTCGAGAAAACAATTGAATATCATTGTTACTGCCTCGAGATGCATCGTACATGCAATATCTGAATTTTATATGCCCCTCTGCGTGAGTAATTGAATTTATACTGCTTCAATCGCATTCTAGCGCAAACGCTGGTTTCATTGGCAACATTGAAGCTCTGATGTCAAAAAACACAAAGCAAGCATTTCTGTCTCGTCGTTTGCCTGCGAGTGAACGCTTCAACGAGCTTCGTTTTTGTTGTTGTGCTACACTTGTTTCGTGGTTGGGCGAAATTTTTGTTGCGCAACTGGGTGCCACAACCACCGGGCAGCACCCGCGAGCCAAGACATGACGTTCCACTCTTTTCCGCGAGACGTAGTGACGAGCAAAGTGGATCGTCGCTGTGCGTAGGGACTAGGTTCCCGTCAAAATCAAGATCCCGTTTATGCAACAATCATCTCGCAGAAGACAGCTGAGCCTTGAGCGGACAAAAGGCTCGTAAGCTGAGGTGTGACATTGTGCCAACGATATCGAACTACGTTCGTTCACTCCTCGGCCAAATCGCGTCAATCAATTTGACTATGCAGCGAAACCGAAAGCAGCAGCTAGGCCATCTGGAAACGATACCAGAGGTTGTATATTTAGAACGCGTGCAGCCCGATTCTGTTTGACCCGCGTGTGGAAATGGAGCGTGACTATGATTCACCAAGCCTCGTCCAAGTCAAGTGACGACATGCATTTGAACGATTCGCCGTTTGCCTTCGACCCGCGGACATCGCTTCTGAGGAAATGACCCGCAACCTCATCACCGCTCCAGCGGATCCGCCGACATGTGTACCCAGATGCCGCTTCAGAGGCGAAATCTGCATCCTTTGATTTGCAAGCGCCCCTAGTTCGATCGGTGGCCGTCGCAGTTGTGTTTGCGCGAAACGGCATACGTTTGCTCGAAACCTACGGCTGTTTGCGAGTAATATCCTGCTAAAAGGCGTGACTTTTCTTGCACATGCTTAGGAACTGCATTAAAAGAACCGTATTTCAGTAGAGTACAGCCTAGGAGACTATTATTCGAATCAAAATTCAAGACATCCATCGATTAACGCTTGTTATCCCGACCATCCGACAAACCTTTGTGTTTTGTGACGTCACGCAGCACTTACGGATGTCAGCCATTGACACTGGCGAAATTCGAGGTGCAGTTTCGTACCTACGCTCATGAAAGGTTTAATTAACAAAGGGAGATCATATATCAAAATAAAAATGATGTTTGTCTACATGAAAGCTTCCTCGATGTAACAAGCGCAAAAGTTTAAGTACTTCCGGTTTCGACCGGACAATACCTTTAACAAGTACTTGCGTTCTACTTTGAAAGTACAATTTATTTATATTACAGGGAGTTTTAACAAACGAGGACCATGTTTTTTGGTCCGGGTAACTAAACTATGTGTCAGAGAAAGCTCAAACTCCGTGAGAACATGATGCTGGCAGTTGGGATAGAATGTGAAAGCTTGAGAACATGACGTTACCTTCATCAAAAGATAATTGAGAAACAAAATTTCTCTGAGCCAACGTCTACCTAAGCATGATGTTGTTAGAACAAGAAATGACACTCATGTAGCATCTATTTCAGTGAAAAAAAGAAAAGAAAAACTTCTCAGCAAGAAAGAAGATATTGTTTTCTTTCTTGCTGACAAGTTTTTTTCACTGAAATAGATACTACAGGTACCCAGGGTCATTTCTTTTTTTTTTTTTTTTACATTATTAAGCTTAGCTGGACTTTGGCTCCTAGAGAAACTTTTGTTTTTTTAATAATCTTTTGATCCAGGCGACGTCACATTGTCAAACTTTTGCATTCTATCCCAAAAACCACCGTCACTTTGTCACGAAGTTTGAGCTTTCTGCGATGCTTAGTTTATTTACCCAAGCCAAAAAACGTGGTTCTTGTTTCTAGGGAACTCCCGGTACTTTACTTCAAGCATGATGTGCTTGGTGTACTCCCTGCTTTACTTGAAGTACATAACATCCAATTTACTTTCGTATGTAAAGTACTTTTTAGATGTATTTTACCAAACACTGATTATCTATTAGAAATGGCCGCATACAACGGAGTCAAAACTTTTCAAAGCGAGCATAGAACGAACGTCATCGTCAGAGTCATGATGTTGAGAGTTCGGGCATTCATTGGTAAGAAAGAATAGGGCGAAAATGAAAGCACGTCATTGGCCAAAATTGGGTCAATGGCCTTGGACGCGTTGATTGACAGCATTTGTGACTAACCACCAGTCACGAATATTCCTCTAGCGGAGGCAATGAGCTTAGCCTATATCCTTCAATCACAATTTCTGGGTAAGGATGTATTCGAGTATTTCATTCCAGCATGCTAGAGTTCAAGTTTGCGACTCTTCGCAACCGAAAAGGCAATGCACGCGACGTCCTCGTTGCGGCGACGTTCAGAATGCACTTCATCTTTCTTTTGGTTGCAGACACAGCCGTGGCCGAGTGGACGGGGAAGATTGTAGACACGGCTTCGTGGCAATTTGGACCCCAACCTTGAACGCGCACCCCACATTCGCAGTTACGCCTCGTGTTTCAGGAAACTTTTCTCGTCAATGTCACCTTTTCTGGCTCATTTAACGGCACTCAGCACCCTGATACTCCCTATTTCCATCAATCTCTTACCATTATTCATTCATGCACTCTCAGCATCATCCGGAAACTAACAAATACCTGTGCCACGATACGTGCCTCCTTCAAGGTTAACTCCGGATTTTTTTATTTCGCAGAATCATCACGGGGCACCGCTTTCGCCGCTCCGCCCTGGTTTCCATCAGCTCCTCCCATTTACCAAACTCTCTCTACGTACAGGCCTGCTCGTCGTAAGAGATCACAAGAACTCATTCTTAAGCAAATGCAAGTGTGCACACCAGCCTTAAAGAGCCACTAAAGTGGATTTCGAGACTGTCGTTTAATGCTGCGAAACCAACACATGCGCACAATGGGAATGTTCAAAACCCAAAAATGTCATCGTGCGCAACAATTCTTTTTTCACCATTAAAAGAGCAACCAAATGTCCCGAAACGCACCTCTTACGAGACATCTTGGAAAACGGGCGCGCCGCAATGCCCGTTCGCGTTTTCAACGAAGAAAGAGGCCACGCACGGCTGTACTTTTGTGTTTCGAGACAAACCTTAGTGTACCCCTTTCGGGCTGCAAGCTGACCCGTCCTAACCCACGACGACCCACCTGCGGAACGGCGCTGGACGTCGGATGTAGACACCGCGGGCCCCTCGTCGTCCCCAGAAGACTGCGGAGACAGTTCCCGTCCCGCCTGCCCAGGTCGTTCCGCGGACGACCTCGTGCCGAAACTCCTCGAGGCCGAGGGACGGCGACCGACGCCCGAAGTCGACGCCTCGGGAACGTCTGCCCTCTTTGAAGATTCCGAGGGCTCGTGCTCTGTGTGGACGGAATGCGCCGCGGACGACTTTGCGGCAGAGCCCCTCGGAGTTGCGTGCTTGCGGCTACTCGGCGTGCTCCTGCGGAAACGGGGACCGAAGACGATGGTTGGGACTTGCACGCGGTGCGTCGAACACAAATGGTTATTGCTCCGGTTCGGGGAATCTTAGGGTAAAGTTGGTTTACACAGAACACATTCCCGTGGCATTCTTTGTAACTTGTAAGAAACTTTGCAGTTATTCAAAAAAAATTTTTTTTCGGCAGTTTGATATTTTAAGTTCCAGGGAATGAAGCCAGCTGTCGGATGGCCAACACAACAAGCTTTTTATCTATACTCCATCTGACTAAAACCGTGCAGTAGAGCCAAGGCTACAGAGAAGAGAATGTCCCTACCTGTTGAAGAGGAGGGAAAGGAGAAAAGGGGGAATCCCAGCTTTTCTCTACCATTCCTCCTTTCCCTCCTCTTGAACAGGTTGGCATACACCCTCTTCCTTTTAGCCTTGCCTGTACTGCACGGTTTTAGTGAGACAGAGTATAGGGCTCCTCAAAATGTTAGGCGCTGGAGAAAATCGGCCATGTGCCACAAGTCCTGGTTTTACTCTCTTCATTCACGTTCAGTCTATTGAAAAGCATGGCTAGAGGGTCCAGGTATGCACCATGTATCGCCACACCACCGTCTACACAATGAAGTCCGCCTGCTCTAGTCACCGGACGTCAATAGACGGGCGCTTGAACGCAGCATCTGAAGTTGGCTACAGCTGCGCCATTTTCCGAATGCCGCCTGCTACCAATGCGGCAATGCTAGCTTGGGCTTCAAGCTAGGCGGACAAACATACCGTGTGGTGTGCAGGGTCCGATCCTGCATAAAGCCTCGTCGAAACCACAAAGAGTTCGCTAGGCAACCGCTTTACGCAGTCGGCATCGATCTGCGCACCAGCGCGTCCGACTTTGGCCAGCGTTTCGGCATTCACGTTAGAAGACAACACGTGGAAGATGGCGTCTCCCATTGCTGGCTTCAGACGCTGCATTCGCGCATTCTTCCATAATGAAGACACTGCATTGCCACGGTGACAGAGTAAGACTTTATTGCGCGGAAGGAGATAGAAGGGTGGCTATGATACCGAGGCAACATTTTCTCTGCCGCCCATGTTGTCCTGCTGTTGCCCGAATGTGACAGGTTTGTCAGACAACACGGAGAGAGAGCAACAAGTTGCCCAATTGTTGGGAGTTAAGATATTCGCGTAGTTTGGGGCCATTCGCGAATATCTTCATGGGCAATCTAGAATCTAATTTTCTTTCAAGCTGCCCCCTCCAACCAATGTTTTATAAGAGATACATGGATGATATATTTATAATCTGGCCACACAAAGAGGACACGCTGCTTAGCTCCATCGAAGTTTTTAATTTTGTGGACCCTTCTAATTAGTTTTTCTCAATTATTCCAAAACCGAAGTTAGTTTTCTAGACGTCAGGGTAATAGTTGAGGGCACAAAACTAGTCGCTCGACTCTATCAAAAGCCGACTGACCGTCAAAAATACTTGCACTCCGACACTGGCCAACCACGTCCTTGCAAAACCAGTATACATGGCTTGCACGTGACGTCATTCAAAAAGCGGTTCGATGACCACCAGAGAAGAGGGGAAGAAGGAGCTCCCCTCTTAGCAGGATCCTCTTTTGTGCCTCCCGGATTTGCACCGACGTCGCTATTTTCCTCCCAAAATTAACCAGTTACTCAAAGTTCTTACAAAAGCAGCTTCCCTCTCCTCCTCTTACATGGTGGTCAAAAGTATGCAATGTGACGTCAGTGCAAGCCATGCATAACTTATAGTCAGGCACACAGGTTCAAAAGCGTGCGTTCAAGCCACGGTTCAAACGACGACGGCTCCAACGCTAACCAACTACGAGAAGTATTAAGAGAACAGAAGTACCCTTAACATATTATAGACGATGTTCCGAGAGCAAGAAAAATCATTTTGTAAGTATCGCAGCGGGTTGCGGACAGTGTTGAGAGATGGCTAAACTCGCCTACGAAAACTCCGAATTCTCCCGGGTCCCGGCAGAATAGACACTGCCTATGTTTTATGTCCGCACCCACTTCTGTAGAATATGCGAGCTGCGTAAAGGTGCGCCACGAGGGGGGCTTACCAGAAAGATGCTTGTTTGGGTTGTGAAGGCCGTCGCGAAGCGTCTTCTGCTTCCCAGCCTGCCTCAGACAACGACGACGGACTGTCTTGCTCCTGGTACCGCCATCGCTTCGGAGGGTGGGCCTCTCGCGGAGGGAGTTGGGGAAAGATGTCGTATTCATACCCCTCCGACTCCCATCGCTTCCGGGCGTCCCCCGGTTCTCTGCCTAGCAGCCGGTCCCCCGGTTGATATCGGCGTGAAGCCATCACTGCGCGACACGGCGTGACGGCGTCACAACGTGACTGCGACGGTAGCTACGTCAACTACGTCTGCCACAATCGGCGAAAATCCCGCCAGACACCTGGATTCTGGATTGGATTGGTGCGTCAGTGACATTTGAAGCGAATTAGTGTGCCTAGATTTTAGAGTAGTTCTAAGCGCTTGATGGTGTCACGTGTTTTATGGGACGCGTTTGAGATACGAGTTGTCCGAGCTGCGAGCTGACAAAAGCAAATACTTGACAAAGGTTATAATTGTCTGCAAAACGCCTTTGCGTCTCCACTTGCTTCTCTCCTCGCCAAGCAAAAATGCAATGCATGCGCACTTGAGGCGTTCGTCATTAAACTGCAAACGCTCTCCATGGTTTGAGTTGCTCTCTCTCTTTAAGAGCGGCTCTCTCAGGCGAAACTTGTAGCAGAAGTTGTGAGTTGACGTTGTAAATATTTAGCGAACACTTGTTTTAATAAAAAAAAATAATGTTCAAAGTTTCAGGCGGAGGCTAAAAACTTTTCTTTGATTTAGGAAAGTATAATAAGTGTGATGAACAAAACTTGGGGAAACACAATGCTGATGCACATTGATCAAATCAATCCAATCCATTTGGTAGCTTTCTTTTCTCTCTTTTTCGCGTCTGTCGCGTTGATGGTGGCGCCTTTGCTTGACTGTCGCCCGCTTTCTGCGGCGTATATTTGGCATCTGGTGGTCGTCAGTTTTCCTAAGTATTGTGTAATGACGGTTCGTAAAGAAGAGCTGGCGCAGTTCCGTCGCTGGTACGACCGTGCGGCCAGGTGAGACTGACGCGCCACATTTTCAAAACTGTTATGACAGTTGACTTAAAACGAAAAGAGTAAAGCTATACGCACTCCGGAGTGCGCTTCGGACGGAAATGACTATACGCACTCCGCTAATCTCGTATAGAAAGAATGGTCACTGGCAGATTTCTCAGCGGTGGCATAGCATAGTGGTTATGGTGTCTGCTTCGTACGCATGTGGACACGGGTTCGATTTGCAATCGGCCGACTTTTTTTTTTTTTTTTTTTTTCTGTTTTTTCGAACATTTTGTTTTGTCGAGGCATTGGGCGATATTTACATTTCTTTTTTGCGATGAACACTAAAAATTTCGTTGTCGACGAAACTTCGCGGAACTAAATGGTATGGGACCCCTTTCCGGCGGTGCGATCGGGGCAGCGGGGCTTGGGTTGCCGGCTGAACGCCGCGAAGCGGCGTGTACTGGTTAAGTTTTGTAATTAGCAGCTGCATACTGTCGCCGCGAAGCGGCGTGAACGCAGGCGGGGGGCTGGGTTAACGAGCCCCCCAGTGATACACGCGTCGTCCGAAAAGGGTGGCCCGAACGGCATGAGCTTTCCGAGGAGTGCGTATAGCCATTTCCGTCCGAAGCGCACTCCGGAGTGCGTATAGCTTTACTCAAACGAAAAACGTAGCTGTCTAGAGACATCTTGTAAACCCTGAAATGGGGAACGATAAAAAAACGGACGATCCCCATCTCAGGGTTTACAAGATGTCGATTGATTACCAGCTCGCCTGCACTTTCTCACTGCTTACTGTCTTGAGTCCCGTCCGTCGGAACTCTTGCAGGGCGTTCAAGTGCCGTCCGATGGTACTCCACTCACGCATTCAACTGCTTTCCGAAAGTCTCTTATAAAACGAGTTCTCAAAACGAGTTTTTCGAAGCGGAGTGTAGCCTAGCCCTTGGATGCTCGAGTAGCGGTCCTCCAGCTCGACCTCGAGAAGACATTCGACTGTGTAGCGCACGAAATTCTCTTTGCGATTTTGGACCATGTGAGTGTGGGGCAAGTAATTCGCGAGGGCGTGGCTCTGGCGTACCGAAATCGTACTACAAGGCTGATTATAAACAAGTGTCTGGGGGCCCCCATTAAAGTACAACGTTCGGTGCGCCAGGGCTGCCCCCTCAGTCCTCTTTTGTACAGTATTTATATCGAAACGTTATGTTTAAGGATACAGTATTCTGGGGGGATTACGGATTTTCAACTGGGTTGCTCAGAAGTTAGGCTTTTGGCCTACGCCGACGACATTGCTGTGTTTTGCACCAACAAAGAAAGTGTCGAACGAGTAGTGAGGGTAATTAAGGGGTATTCTGCAACCACGGGGACTAATGTAAACTGGGACAAAAGTATTGGGTTTTGGCACGGGGAATGGACTTCAAGACCGAGTTTTTTTGCAAATGTTAGATGGGAAACAACCCCCGTCAAGTACTTGGGAGTACCGCTAGAATGCTATAAGAGCAGCGAGGAATATTGGAATGCGCAAGCACAAGAAATGATATCTCAACTGGAACAATGGAAAGGACAGCATCTCTCGATATTTGCCAGAGCGACGGCGTGTAATTTATTTTTAGTATCAAAAATATGGTATGTGATGCAGGTGCTGTATTGCACATGACTTAACATTCAAAAACTTCATAGAGTGTTTGCTCTTCTTATTTGGGGGTCATCCTGGGAAAGGTGAGCGAGGGACAATTTGTTTAGGCAAGTCCGGGACGGGGGACTCGGATTGTCCCGCCTGTTTCTCCGTCCGGTAGTAAATAGATTTTTGTTTTCTCGGGACACTTCCGACCTTTTTCTAAGAACTGTGTGTCAGCTGAGGTTGGCGCGAGCGCTGCCTCAGCTGATAGTGTCGTCCACAGAGTGTATACTTGGGCATGTTCGTGGTTATTTCAGAGAAATTGTAAGCTCTTTTCGGTTCTTGCAGACACATTTTTCTATGGATTATTTAAATACCGTTAAACGTAAAAAGCTATATAAAGATTTAAGAAGCAGCATATTTTCTCTACCGAGGTACTGATCCATATACTGTGAAGGCCCAGGGCAGGATGTTTTGAAAAGAGTGAAGAGGATGCCACTTTGGCATCCTCTTCACTCTTTTTTATTTGGGGGTTAAGACTTTGTTTTTTAAACTTCATACCGGAACGTTATCAGTTAGAACATATTTAGAAAGAATTGACAGTTTTGTCCCTTGGGGAACAAACTGTTACACTTGTAAGGTCCCCGAGACTATTGAACATGTTTTTTTACATTGTTGGGAGGGGGTATTCTTCTGGGATGTGCTCCAAAGAACCCTACACAAAGATTTTCCTTTAGACCAACACGGTATTAGATTTTTGGCAATAGATAATGAAGGAGGGGTGCCATTTGATTTGCTAATGCTTCTGGGCCTCCACAGTCTATGGCTCTCCCGCACCGCGAGGCTCCATAACGATGCCGATGCTAGACCGGCCAGGATGTATGTACAGAAGCTGATGTACCAGATTGGGTATCCAGAATCGAACCGTAAGAAACGTTGAGAGACTTTTGATGTGACGTCAACCATCGAAGGGATGATTGTTTCATACTTCCTTTTCATTTGTATATAATTAACATGTAACCATGTGTGTGTAATGTAAATATGTGTGTGTGTGTGTTTTCGGTTTAAATGATCGGGTAATAAAGAAAAAAAAATGAGTGTAGCCTAGTGGTAAGATGTCCGTTTCATAAGCAAGCGATCCCGGGTTCGATCCCCAGTGCGGCTTACTTTTTCGTTTTTGTTTTCTCGAACATTTTATTTTGCCGACGCATTTGGCGATGTTTACGTATATTTTTTTACGATTAATACAGAAAAATACGGATGTCGTCGCCGAAATTTCGCTGAACGAAATGGTATGTGACTTGGTTTCCGGAGGTGCATGGGGTACAGCGGGGCTTGGTTTGCCGGTTGTTCGCCGCGAAGTGGCGTGTACGACGGGGCCAATGGGTTAATACCTTTGTAATTAGCAGCCGTATACTGTCGCCGCGAAGCGGCGTAAACGCAGGCGGGGGTCTGTGTTAACGAGCTCCCCAGTGATACAGGCGCTGTCCGACTCTCTTTTGGACGGCACTTGTAGGCGCGAGTGGAGTGCCGTTGGACGGCACTGTAGACACAGCCAACGAAAAAAAACACACAAGAGGACGAAACAAACGACTGTCGTTTGTTTCGTCCTCTCGTGTCATCCATAGTTCCCCTGAGACGCAGGAAAAAAAAAAAAAAAAGACGGACAGTACAACGAAGTCTCTATTATGGATATGGATATCATTCACCAGCTCGCCTGTGTTTTTTACCTTTCGTCCTCTTGTGCGTTTCTTTCGTTTTAAGTCAACTTAGATCAGCAACACGCTCAAGTCTTTAATTGTTACGACAGCCTTCCATTTAGCGCATACTATTTGACGTGGTAACGAATACGACGCAGCAAAGGTAGCAGCCTGAGACGGAGTTTGGGAACCCGACGTATCGGTAAGGGGACGTTTCGGCATGGGGACGAACCTATCTTTCCGGCTGCTGGGGCAAAAGAAATAAAAAGAAAAAATTTGGGGCAAAAAAAAGGCCGGCAGTTTCGTCCCATTAGAGCCCTGCGCAGATAACAGTTGTATCTGCATCCGCAGACTTTATATCCGAACCGCATCTGCGAAATTCGGAACCACATCTGACTCTCAACCCGCGCATTCATTTTACATCATAAAATCATGCATGAATAAAAATTAGAAAAGGCATATTGATAATATCTTATAAGCCGCCTGCCTACCTTTCTACAAAGACCTTTGTGTAAGAACATGGTGAAAGTCATTTTATCATATTCTGTTTTATCATATTTCTATGATAAGCGATCATCCTTTACATTTCATATCGCTGGAAAGATGCTCGCAGTTCTGAGATCGTCTTGGGTGTCCGTGGCATTGACACTCTGTCCAGCAGATGCGCTTGAAAGGAAGGGAATTTATATTTATTTTCCTTTTTGCTTTGTGAAACCTACTTCAAGCGGGCACATGTTTTAAAAACATGAAAATTGACAAAGGACAGACTAATAACATTGTGACATTTTATTTAGGCCAAACAATAAAAAATGGGAGAGGAGAGGCGCTCACTCGCCACAGCAAAGTGCTCGTCTATTTGTGGTAAGGTGCGAGTACACCACATCACATTATGCAGTAATGGCAACACCTCCTATCAATTACAGTTTTAAACACAAACCCTCAACTGTATGCTTGGATCCATATACTTAAAAAACAACTCGGTG